TGTTGTTTATAAGTTAATTTTTATTTTTAACTTTATTGATGTTATTGCTAGTGTTTTTTATTATAACGAAAATACTTTGCGTAAACACGAATTTATATGGTACAATATGAACATTTATGATTTTATTGATCTGGGAACAAAATCTTTGGACACCAAAATGCATATTCCTTTTCTTTTTAATATTTAGGCAATTGTCCAAAATTGAACTGTTAACTTCAACATAACTTTAAACTATAAAGTTACAAGCATAGTTAATAATGAAATAAATTTACGTTGAGTAGTCCAAAAGCAAAATGAATGGGGCCATTTGAATTAAAATTATTGCCTTTTTCTAAAAAGTAAAATTTCTGAATGAAGTCTCGCTGTCACTCTGTTGACGACCGGTTCCATCGCGCTGGATCGACTTGGCTACAGTGAAACTTTATATGAAGCTGTATTACCCAGTATGGCTTCGTTGATATTACCTCAAACATCACTGTCTCAATATAAGATAGGGTTATATGGTCATTTCAATTATAGCTAGATTGTCTAAATTCGGCATTGCTTTAACTGTGAAACTGTAATATCTGGGCACAGTAGATCTTGGAGACACTTACCGTGCCCAGATTCACATGTACAAACGGCAACAAATCTCGCGAAAATTACCACCCTTCACGTGTTTTGCCTCACCAAGGAGCTATTGCATGTACGCTTAATATATTAATAGCAGATATAATCATAATAGACAACATCACATATGTATTGAAGGTCCTAAATAAACGAAGGTACCACAACACCCAGACTGGAGACGACGACACCTTAATATCGGCTTTTAACAAACAATAACGAGAACTGTCCCGGTCTTGTGATTTACAGTTCTCGGCAACATCAAATATCAGCAACATCATTATATTATTAGTATTTAAACAATACATTGTACAGTGACCGCCAAATCGATGATATCTTCAGCAAAACTTAACCATAATGTGTTCTACAGGTTGCCAGACGGGAACTCTAAAGGCGAAAACAATCAATTTGTGTCATACAAATCTAGAGATAGATAAATATTTACAAATGAATGTACAAGTTATCAACGGAACACTTATAGATAAAAGCCTCTAGTGCGTTGTCGTTAAGGTTGCGGTTTGTGTGATATATTATCTGAATGCAACCGTAATTGATGTATACGGTACCCACCGTTATGGGACCACCATTAGATGCCCACCGGCGCGCAGATATAGAAAAATAACATCTATAAATACTTAATACATGGTAGTAACGAAAGTGAAATAAGTATAAATATCAATATACATGTACAGTATACAGCACGTCAAGTTGCCACAAATTCGCCTTTCATGAATCATGAAGATACAGTAGATATTAAAACTTTAATTTGTTGATGGTTAACTTAAAAATACTTATATTGCAGATATTTGATACGATGTGCTATCGAGTGTACAATATTAAAATCTTTACATAGACATTAGCGCAGTAGCTGTGTTGCTAGTTTGTCAAAATTTTTCACTTTTTATACAGAATGATTCATTTGTATTAAATATGTAAAGCTAAAGTTATCGGTCACCAACTTAACATCGATAAAAGCTAAAGTAGTTGTAGAAGGGGGGGATTATAGTGCACACATGACAATTTACCTTAATTTAAGTGATATTCATTAATATCTCTATGATTAGGTTACATTCCTTTTACATTAACTATTGAATAATAAGTTATAAAACTGTAACTACAATGGTCATCATCATCATCATCATCACCAGTCCTCTTACCACAGCCACACTGCAGGGGCTCACGCCTTCCTTATGGATGGTTAAGATGGTATAGACTTTTTACGTCATAATATCTACGTATATATATCTTGCATCCCTGCGTCCGTGTGGTGAATGCATAGGGTCTAGCTGAAAATCGGCGTCGGTCTGTTTCTGGAAAGTAAACAGACCGACAAATGCCGAGCTAGATACCCATTTGGTGCAGTCGTGGGACACAATATTATTTATTTTATTATTTAAATGTTGAATAATGTTAAATATCTTATTGCTTGTAATTGTACGTTTAATCTAATGTTTATTGTAATATGTATTAATGTGATAAATTATTATATTTTAGTGTCCTATGTGCATGCGCCGAATAAATGAATTTGATTTGATTTGATAAATGAATTTGTTAAGGAGGATGGGCCATGACCCTCCACGCTGGCCCAATGCGGATTAGAGGGTATTAACGACTGCAAATGCAGCCGGGACCAGCGGCTTAACGTGCCTTCCGAAGCACGGAGTAGCTCGAGATAATAATTTTTTGGTCACCCATCCCGTGACCGACCCTTGCGAAAGTTGCTTAACGACAACGATCGCGGGCCGCGGCGCTTATCCACTACGCCACCGAGCTACTCAACTACAATGGTCACGCACGTAAAAGTGTTGATTGTCAATTGTTGATGAAATTGATGGAACACTTATGATATAAAATAACAACACCCGTGTCGTTGGCGTCTGATGTTGATGATACCCCGCTGTCCGTAGTAAACCGCTAGGGAGGCCATTCATCAACACCTAGGGAGTATTGTAACGTCGTGACGTCATAGATTAGCAGTACTGCCATTGACGTCCGCCGGTGAACAATGACCCCGGGCGCCGGAGGGAATCCCTCGCAGGGTGCGGTACTCGGCGCCCCCGCCACCGCCCCGCCCCTGAACCCTGATGCCTGCGGCCCACCTGTGGATCACCTCACCTGTGGCGCGCCCTGTTTGCCCACCCCGCGACTGTTGGCCCGCGACTAGGGTAACCAGATTTTAGACTGTGAGTCAGACGGATAAACGGATTCAACCGAATATTTGTCCTTATTTTTTCAGTCTTAGTATATGATTAAAACAGCCATTCAATAGCATGACTATTTTCTAGTTGAATGAAAGCTGTCTAATAAAACCAGCATTGTATCAAGAAAGGAAAAATCTTTTCCATTTTGGAGGCTGTTAAAAAAAGATAAGCAATGGAGTTTATTACAAGTGATACAATTTAAATTTTAACAAAAAAAATGCTATTTTATGAAATTAAATAACAAGCTCATATTACGCATAACATAATATTATAGATATTTTGATTAACTTAGTTATAATATAATCAATAATTGCATCTCGTATCGAGATCTTTTCCAGTTAACCAGTTGGCCGTGCCTTGTGCAGCCTGTAGGTACTATAGAACTTTATGTTCAGCTGAATAGCTGATTGATGTTTAGCCGTGCAAATGAATGGCGCTATTTTCTAAGAATTTGGGTGATACACATTGTAGAATTTAGAGGGCTGGTCAATGAAAATATGTAGATGCTCCACAGTGTGGTTTATTTATATAAGCAGCGTTACAGAAATGCCTATCACTTAGCGTGGATGCGTGCAGGCTGACTGCGCCACAACGGTGCGCCCTCTACAGGCGTTCAATTTACTTACATATATTTTTATAATTATTCATTACACTACCTTCAAATGAGCTCGTCGCTAACACACATATTACTCGGCGTTTTTTATTAATTTAATTAACAAAATATTTACTAGGAAATCTTGCTAAATTCTAAATGTAACAAGGATAAACTTCAACGGATTAGTCTTCCCTATTTCCAATGAGCCATTTTACAATAGACCAAAGGAACAATAGTGGAGAGAAAACCAACACAAGGGAAATATTTTCATTTTTGGTCAAATACAAAAAGCCGGTCGGACGGACCACAAAGCGTTCCCTCTGTCCGGCTGTGTGCGGATGCCTGGCGACGCTCCCCGCGACCCACATACAACTCCTTCACATTCGTAACCCACTGTCAACTATAACGAGCATTCCCAGCGCTTGTTCCGATTGACAATAAGCAAACAGACAATATATAGAGACATCATTATCACGAAAGTTTGCGTTCTTTTTCTATCGAACATCTGATTAATGTCTTCGGGACTTACTGGTCATACCATTAAAATTATATTTACAATTATTGTACATTAGGGCATCGTTTCATTCCATGAAATACCGAGCTACGGTCGTAACAATTTGTTTCCGATAACCTGATAGTACTCTGGTATCTATAGATATTCCCCCATGTCAATTGTCTTCGTAACAGCATGCTCTATAGAAATAAACATCAATCGAGACTATTAGTTCGGCGACACGTAATACAATCAGACGGAGAATGCCCCTGACATTGTGGATACCACCGGGAGATGAGCAGAACAATTAGTGGAGCTTGTCGTTGTTCTTAGCTAATAATGATATTGATATTAATAATATACAATAGTTTGACTACTTACTAACTATTATTTTATTTAATCACCTACTAGAGGAAGGTAATCAAATATAATTGAATAATTTTGTTAATTGTTCCTAGGAAGGAAAAGTGATTTTCTACAAAATTATAAAGGAAGAGATTTTAACACTAATATTAGAGATAATATTTCATATTTGTCTATTTTATTTTTATCTCTTACAACTAAAAATATAGTCATAGAATGTGTCCTATAAGCATCACGCACGAAAAAGTAAGGGCAAAAACGAATTATGTTCTACTAAATGGATTTTAGGTTGACGTTCATGGGCCATTTTCAGTCACATATGTCATGTCTATTATTCAGTATTTTCTACTATAAAATGTAATGTGTTACAGCAAATTGTAAGCATGGAATGTGTATCATGTGTTGTGAAAAATTATAGCAGAATCTCGATAGAGTTTTTCGTCATATTATAAGAGTATGATATGGATTAGAATTAAGAGCTATATTTTATAATTTATAAGTTCAAAAATTAATAAAACCCCACAGTAAGTATGTTAGCAGAGGTGTTTCTTTTCAATTAGAATATTTATTTAATAACGACAAACTAATTATACGCTCGGTCAAACACCAGCACTTAAAAATATCAACAAAACTCTCGATTACTTCTTACCGTAACAGTATGGGCAGCATCGTGTGTTTTTTTCATAACTGTTGTACGAGCTGTTGTATTGGAGCTCATTGGAGCTACTGCAGGCCCCAGTACCTTTGGTGTTTTCGATAATGGCAATTGCAGGTCTTCAACAAGTAGGGTATAATGACGTAGAGACCAACAAGTAGTTCTAAACCTGTTAAAATTATAATAGTTGACAGGGAGGTGTTGCCCGGGGTGCGTTTATGATGGATGGCAGGTTCGTCAATTCGGACGGCGGCGGTGGCGGCGGCGGCGGTGCGTCGTTGCGGGCGCGGCTCTCGTGCCCCGCGACCGTTCAAACGGACAAATAGCCCGGCCATTATACATACATACATACACATCCATCCCTCGCCCCACACAACACCGTACACTGACAAAGTGATCGCTGCCTATCAATGACATATTGAATATGTAATTAGATGGACGAAAATCCATCCTAAAGTCCTAAATGTAAGTAAGTAAAAATTGCGGCTTGTTTTGCGACGTTCTTTAAATTATAGTTGAGCAAAATGGTGACTGGCTCATTGATTTTTTTTTTATATTATGGATATTATGAGTTTTTTTATATTATGGTTTTAACCATATTTATATTATATTATATCATTATTAATTAAGTGTCGTGACGGTCGAATTTGTGTCTGGTTACGATCGATAAAATGATTAATATGTATTGCACACGAAGCCACGCTTAAGAGGTGGTACCAACATAAAATGGTTATTTAGCCCCATAGCCAAATTGCTTACATCACAAATTATCGCCATTTCTGTCACGTCAATGTAGAAAATTATTTTTCTATAAAATCTCGGGTCTGAATGTTGCGTTCGTTAATTCGGATTTCCACAGTAACTAAAACTAAAACTTCTCAGTTTTGATATAAACTATGTGTGTGATGTTGTACACAGTTATTAAATCGACCGAGAATCAAACCCGGAACCTCAAAGTTGACAACACCTTAAAATTGCTTGCGAGCCTTTCAGCTATATAAATCATCAAAAATTTCAAAAATAAGCACAAGTATACTACTATACAGCGCTAGTCACGATTGCTTGCTTTTTTTTTAAATCGTCATCATGTACATTAATACTATATATTTGACATGCTCGTCGACACCTCACGGTTCACACACACATTAACTATCGAGTTGAGTTGACTAATGATTCCACACCTTTTCAGACTTCCATTACCGGAAAGTGTTTTACTTGTACCGGGCATAATAACAGAAAAAGAAAACGAAAATAGTTCGTTCTATAATAATTCAAAATTATTATTTTCTACACAGGTATTTGTTGGATCAGAAATTTTTTATTTTATAAATCAAACAACACAAAACTCAATAAGGTTACGTTATTACATATTAATTACAGTCAGCGTTTCCATGGCTACCTTTAGATTCCTTTATCAGATCAACTCCGTTCCAAATTAATATTGCAAAGTTACCTATGTTATATGGGTATGCAAAATTTTAACTTTATGGCGGGTTAAATATAAACTTGCTATAATTCGAATCGGATATTTTGTAATTCTCACGTGATGCACTCACTAACAAACAATTTTTTTTATAATGCCGGTTCACGCGAGCGTCACGTTGCAACCATCGCGGCCGCTGCGTCAGCATGATACATATACTCGTATAATAATTCCTAGGCCAATTCTGACGAAAGTTAAAATGATATGTTGAGAAAGTCACTAGACAGAGGCACGCGAGCATAAACAAATACACACCTTTATAAAAGACTAAATAGCAAGCGTGATTGTAGGTGACCTACATTCTGCCGTGTCAGGCGCACCTCCTGCATCTCAAAAAACAGCATTTTGAGTAAATCGACTTTGAAGTTTTTTAAGATTTTGGTCTCTAATACTGTTTTAGAAAGAAATATTTTTTTTCCATTTTTATATTATGTTCGTGTTCTCTAAGTAAGGGCAAAATATTTAGTTATTTGTTACATTTTCTTTATTAATAGATCTATCAGATCTTATTTCCTGTGTACTATTAGGTTATTTTTTTTTATTGACTTGATGGGATTCATTTTTCTTTTTAAGGTCTGAAATCTCTAACACATGAGTTTTCAGACCAAGTACTGGAATTTATTCATTTTCTTAACCTTCAATTTATATCATTTCTTTTTCTTTGTTTGCTTATGATCGAGTACTGGCACTACTAGTTTGTCGTTGATTGCTTCATTTTTCTCTTTTTTACTTACATTATCTTTGCTACTACAATTCTATTTGCATTTGCTATATTGTTATTTTGTACTATATCCAAACTTTTTCTTGTTAATTTGAATGAATATATACTTTATTGCACAGTACTCCCTTATTTCTAAAGTAGCATTCTCTACCAAACTAAAAGAAACTTTTTAGCCAAAGGTAGCTTGGTAATGATTGAGTAAATAAACCGCGGTTTAGTACCTTAAAGAATGAAGAACAAAAAAAAATAACATATACTATTACTATACATTAACAAAAAAATAAAATAAAACAGAATTGGATTTCAGAAAGACGAATCCAGCTAGAGGTAATATTCTTTTACCTACTTGTTTAACAAAAGACTCCCATGATTGTGCGCATCCGATATGTACAGGCAGTGAATTTCATAGTTTAACGGCTCTGATATATAATGACATAGGCTCGAAATCAGTTGTAAGAGACCCTTCTCTTAAGGATCATTAAGGAAAAGTTAATGAGGAGCGTGTTAGAACAATGAAATCGAAGATTCTTCAAAAAAGAAAGAAAACTCATTGACCCACAAACATAAAACAAACATTACTTGCGCACTTTTCTTTGATTGCATACTTGGCGCCACGTAGAAAGCAAAACATATATATATCAATACTAATCTGTGAAAAATACAGAATTTAAACACGACGTTTGTATAGTGTGTTTGTTGCAAACGATTTTATATTAATAAAACAGTATGCAACAAAAAAGTTCCGCCCATGCGTGCAAAATTCTGTATTCAAGTAAAAACAGAACGAAAACTACCAAAGATGTTTTAACGTCATTGGCTACTACCCCAAAGAGTAGCATTATATTAACCTCCCAGTGCTATCATGCGTGATTAACAACCCGTTATAGATGTGAAGCATAGCTAACTAAGACCAATGTATTAAGAAACTACAATTAATGTGTGTTATATAAGAATAATTTAATGTAAAATAATTGCCAAAAAACAAAGTCAAGGCTATTAATTTCATGCAAAGCGGACATTGCTATACCTAAAATACATTAATTCTATAATAAACACGTTCTTTACCTGATTTTTAAATTCAGTTCCATTTCTCTTCAGATACGATCTTTTCGTTTTTGAAACTAGCAATAAATCAACTTCTTAATAGAAAGTATTTAAAAAATATATATCAGTATCATATTGTCAGTGCAAACATAATTAAAAATAAAACATTCTGTCTCGTTTCCTCGCCTCGGCACAATTCTCTAAGCTAACTTACATATTGTTCATTATTTTTTTCTGTTTTTAAACCAACACAATCTCCTTAGTTATGTATGAGGTCGTCGTACAAACCATTAATTTTTATTGTCAATGTTCCGTGCGTGGCGTCGCCATCGGCCGGCGCAGGCGCAGCCGCGTGTACAATTGTACATGTTCATATAACTAATCTCAATAAATCTGTACTTTTATTAACATATTTACTATTTAACGGATTGTTAAATTTAATAGACATTTAACACTAATATATACGTATATTGCTTTGAAATATTTTCATCAAGATTGGGAATCACTTCAACGACGCTGGCCAGGAGGCAAAGATGCATTTTGCTGATGTTAAAAAAGCTTCTTGTTTCCAATAAACATTGTTATTCAAAATTTGAATGCTTCTTTGGGAATTTTAAAACGATAGATCCAGGCGGATACATAATGGTGGCTGGCAACCCTCCAATCCGAACAGTTCTGATTGAAGTACCCGTCTTAATATAGCATAAAAATTATCCGTTTTATCATTAAAAATGGTAATTGTAGTTTACTTGTCCATCTTTTTAAAATTATCCACTCACCGAAAAAAAAAACACTTTTTACGCTTCACACTAATTCACATTTGATAATAATGATGTGATGAAATAAATAGTTTAATTTATTTTTAAATATTTTTTCATTTTTTATTTCTTGTATGTTACCATTAACTAAAATTTGTTATATTTTTTTTTAATATGTAAAGCATATGTTTGTATCTTATTACAAGTGATAATGATTTTGAAGACACCATATATTACTGTATTGTAAACTTAGTTTTCTTTTCTACAACCTGGAAAAAAAATTAGGCAATAAGATCGCCGATTATCCTATTTGAATATAATGTATTTATTCACTACTATAGAGTAATATTTTATTGATTCATTAAATATATGTCATATTGATGTTACTCCATGTTGATGCTACATATTGACCTATAATATTATCAAATTTATGGGTCAATATATAGTATCAGCTATCTGTTTGGTAACAGTGACAGCGTTACGACTGTCATGCGTCTCGTTATCATAATTATATTCTATAATAATAATCTATTGAGATATTCTCCCTATTATATAATTAATTACCATAATTGTTACACCTACTTAAAAATTCAAACAAACCCCTATTTACTTTGATATTGTTCTGTAGATAAGTGAACTTCCGAATGCCTCCGATAACGCGATTTTCTATGATTTCTAAACATTATTTTATTGATTATATGTCGATAGACGACTCACAAAAGTATATAAATAACTAGTCACTATCGTCCATGATGAAAACCAAGCAGATTTAACATCATACATATGCGTCCGCAGTTTTCATGTCTGTCTGTTGACCAGGCATTGATCCTACTGCATTAATAGTTTCGAAATGATACATGTTTTCGTTTATGAAGTAGCTAATCATAATATTCTTTTTTTTTCTATTGCTACTAATATTTTCAGTAACTTTCTCTTGAACAATTCCCGCTTCACACAACGGAAGTCTGATAATCCTCGATTATTGTTACCGCGTTGAGCGAGACGTTGAAACGCCGACATCTGCTAACAAAAAACTCACCAAAATTAGTAGAAGGATATCAACACGCAAACACTTGGAGCGTAACGACTGAATTAAATAATGCTCAAGAGTGCCCGTCCATAGGTAATCGTCGACAGGATTATACAGAATTCTAGCATATTCTAAGACAAAAAGTCATTTTTTTATACTTGTTTGCCAACGTATTGGTTAGACTTGGTGTTACACAGCGGCGACCACGTGGCGCACGCGCACGTGGCTCTAATCTAACCTCACATTCATAACAATATAAACACAATATCGCGGGTGTCATACAACCATTTCGTATATTGTTCTATTTATCACAATTATAGACGCTTATTCATTGTCCTTTGATGAAAACTGGCTAGAGTGAATTTCCGTCATTATCACGTATTTCCTCGTCATTAACAACAATGAGAGTAATTAATTTGTTTATGATATTTAATGGTGATATGACAAAATACAGCCATTAATTAATGAGTGAAGATCGCTGCTACCACGAGGAGCATATCAAGGAGCGGGTTAAAAATAACCCGAAGAGGGCCGTCTCTACACACGCGTGATATGCACTTGACGACTGTGATATTTGTCATAATAAATGAGGCATACAAGTCTTTATGCTTTGGGTGTAGAGTTGTGTTTACGG